AGGATATGTCAAGTACGCCTGAAATAGACACACCCTGAAACAAAAGTCCTGTGAATAATGCGGAATCAGAGGATTTCTCCAAACTTACCTGAGCGATCAGAAATGACGCAAAAAAGGGCAAATTCTTCTTATCTTTTTCTACAGTAATTCGTATAGTATCATACATCCCGAAGTAGACTGCACGATATAGGAAATAGGTCTGAAAATCCAATGGAATCATAATTGTCTCCACGGCGCAGACAGATCCTATTCACTTGCTTAATGAACTCTCTATTATAATGACTGCCGATTGCCTTCACTTATATGAATGTTATTGCCATAAAAAACTAAAAAAAAATGAAATTTCAACTGTACTGCAGCTTCTTTATGTTCTTTAACCCATTTCCGAACTGGTTCTCATCATTCTATCCTGAATGCCCGTCTATGTTCTTAGAGTCCGTACCACTGAAGGAGAAGCGTGACCGCGTACTTCATGGCGGCAGCTGCGTTTTTGGTGGCATATTGCCGTTATGAGAAAATCTGCAGTCATGTCCTTTCTCAGCTAAGGACACGGTGCAGTTTTCTCAAATGGAAAATGCCCACAAAAACGCATCCTACGCTCAGTCTCACCATCCGAGATGTGAATCACAACGAGAGTCAGTAGTATGGCCGCTCGATGGAGGGATGGTGTCGTATTTTACCATGAGCAAATTTTTCTGATCATTTGTTTCTCTAGTTTCACGCGCGCTGTCTACCTATCTTTGGTTCGGTGGCGCCCCACGACTACTTTGTGGTAGCTGAGACCCTCTCCACTTGACGATCGAGTTCGGCAAGATTTCTAATAGATGTGGAACTGAGCCAGGTAATGACAAGGTACTTGCGGGTCCTATTTTACAAAAATTCGCTTCAACGTGACGGTGCGCCCTGTCTACATCATGTTCGAATGAAATGCGGAGCCACGCACTTCTCATGGATTAAAGCGTGTAGCTTCCTTAACAGTAGCTCTCCTTAGCAACCAAAAGGCTTGAGTAGACGTGAATCGGAACAGTGAGTCGATTCTAGGAAAAAAAAACCTTCCCAGAAGAGCAAATCACGAACAGGCACGAATAAGGAAAGGAAACCGCATATTAACGAACAATGTGAATGACAGCGTGGTGTGTCCTCCTCTGCATAGAGGCTAACCACGCTGCGGGTTCCCGCAGAATTAATGCAATACAATACCTCTGCCAGTGCGGCCCTGCCTTCAACAGCCGTTATAGACAAAATGGACAGATCCACTCGGATAAAGGCCAAGTAACTCGAAGAGCGGTGTATGAGAGTAGAGAGAGCCGCCGCTCCTACATACTTAAATGTTGATGTTACGTTGTTGAAGCAGCAAGGATGTGTGACAATTTCACACTCATTCAAAGGAAAGCTCAGGAGGGGCAACTGAAGTCTTAACAAACGTCAAAATTTCCCATTGCACAAAAGGATGCTGTGTGCCTCTGGATAGGCCACTCTCCAACGAGGCTTAGCCACGTCATGATATGACGAGGCATTATGGTGTCTGGGAGACCGGCTGTCAGCGTTTCAACGTCCAACTATTGTTAAAAACATGCCCCCCACATTGTGTGGGTAACTGAGAAGGTGCAGACGAGCAAACGTGGGCTCGAATGTCGTTAATGAGTGGAGGGGTGGCATAGTGGGCAACTATAAGTAGGCTTGACCACTCGCTCTAGACCTCCTTTCCTCCTAGCCTATGGTTACACATTCTGTTCTCCTCTAGTATTGAACCAGCACGGAAAAAAAAACTGAAAATGGCGTGGGAGGGGTGTACGTTGGGAGATGTAAGTTCTTGGTCCTTGACATGTCATGAGAGATCAAGCGACGTCGTGAAATGTTATAACAAATACTATAAAGGATGAAGGCTTCACCGTTGATCAATCCCGTTTTGGTATACGACTTTCATTCGAAACCCTACAGGGTATATTGGATGCAATGTGGCCTATAAAGTGACTTGTGGGGGCCAGCCGAAGTACAAGTCAAAGTTTCCATTCTCTCAGAAAAATACGACCAATTTCCAGTCAATGGAGAGTGCGAGGTTTGGTCGCGAGCCGCTGCAAGATATGATCCTGAGCCGTGCGCGTGGTAAGCGCGCCACTTGCAACTACACCACGTTCACCCGTAAAAGGAACTATATTGGACCATAGTGGACCTAGACTAGCAACCACGAAACATCTGCAATTGGTGACGTCAAAAGACCGACAATACGAAGTATTCATTGCGCATTCGATCCTCCCTTTATACTACCGTTATCAAACATATCCAATCCTCCACTATCTACTGCTGCTGCGGGTATTCTTCATGTCGTTTCCTTCAAGCCGACCCACCTGCCTAAACCGCCTAGCTACTCCCTCCTAATATATTTTGTATGAAATATGTGTGCTACAACTCACCCAAAAAAACTTTATATGTAGAGAGGAAAATGTATGACTGCACATGCATGTCAAGCGGTTAGGGAAGTTTGAATAGACCAAAGCTCTGCCTCTCCCAGAAGATTACCCAGAGTGAGCTCACCTATAAACCTTCATGGTAAAGGGAGAGTAGGGAGATTCCATACCCGTCGAAATCCCATCAACTAAAGGAAATAGTGAGCAAATAAATGAAGATTACAAAACAAATGACGGGCAAGAGAACTATTAGTTTGGCGGGGAAGTCCTGTCACCTTTTAAAACTGAAAATATATGCCCATTATCTGAAAAGGGGCGAACGGTAATGTGAGCACTTATACATCAAAGAATGGTCTTTCTATTAGTACTACTCGCTTGATTCCTGCTTCTTCTTCTTCTGCAATATGGACAAGAATGTTATCCGCTACCATCGTCACGCAACGAAGACCCTTCCAAATGCGTGCTGATACTGCAGCGCACTTCCAAAAAGTTCTACGCCGGTTCGCTTATGCAATATAGGCCCGGATGACAGTGCTCCTTTTGCAGTGTGTAGGGCAGCAGACAGTTGCTCCTATCTAGAATGCGGGTTGCTCCCCGTAACGCAAGAAGTTTACGAGAGTAAACCTCAGAAAAGTCTGAGTTCTAATACCAAGATTGAGGAATGTCCAACTTTGTAATCGCGCACCTCCCTCCATTATGCAGCCGATGACATCCGATGAGGGGGGGGCTCAAAAACTGGCAACGGACCCCCGCAGTAGTGGCTGTACAATTCGGTTTCTGTACGCGCCTCTCTGTATAAAAGAAAGCGCCAATTTGAAAAAAGTGACATGCTTTCCGCGTCGAAGCGACTAGTACATTGGTTTATCAAATAGCATCTTTGTCCGAATGATCGCCACAAGCCTGCGCCCAAAAGAGGACAAAATGAACTATATCCAACTCGAAAACATGGGAGCTGGCCTCCAAACAGTCGATGATGCACTGGCAAGTGGAAGTGTGTGGATGCATGAATTGATTTGTATAAAAGAATGCCAAGACAGAGAGCAGCACTAACAGCCACGTCACCCTATTTAGCGAAGCTATGCGTCAGTGGCTTTAGGGGCTTCATGAATTCAACTTGTCAGCTAGTTTCATACTCTTCTTTTTTGTAGGGCTGTATGGAGTTGGTCAATAAGAGATAGCAGGTAGACAGATGTTCTTCATGATAGGGACCACTACCACAGCAGTGGATAATCGCCGCATAAAGTTAACCTGAGCGAGAAACTACATTTGACTTCGGCCTTTATTCCTGAATGAGTGTGAAGCGGGCTATAAGATGGGATACGGATATGCTACTTTTCGGGAGGTATGATACCAACCGGGCAAATGAGTTATACTCTTCTAAGCAAACCTAAGAATGATAACCATACTATGCAAAATTGGTTTATGGGCTAGTTTCGCTGGGCGGACAATGGGACGTGTCAGTTAAAGGCAGCGTCCGCGATCAACCAAAGTGAAAAACCCTCCAATGAAAACGAACGCGGAGTACGCAACCATAGCGGATATCCCACTCTTGCGGCTCGAAATGTATTGATTGACGAGGGCGGAGTCAACAAGGCTGAGCTGACGCCTCCTTCCCTGTTAATCCCGCCCCGACTGGTTAACAGTTATCAGTGCTTGCTGGCATTGATAAACGCTAAGTTTCTGGAGTTCCGAGGCCGGCGACGTGTATTGGAGAACTCACCAAAGGTCTGCGAAACTCGTCCACATGCCTTAAATTTCGTAGGGTCTTATTTCACGCTCTTCCACACCTTTTTCTACTTTTTTTTTTGATTTAGTGCTTCAATGGCGCAGCGCTGTTCTAAACAAATTGTGCTCGGCCTGAGACCTGCCAAAGTCCCAATCGCGGGCCGCTGTCTTTAAGCTTCCCTGGGCGCTGGGTGCTCCGCAGCTCTTCTCCCCACGATGTTAGACGGATAAGTGAACCTAGGAGGGAAAAAGAAGACACGCGTATCAGAATACTTATACAGTCATGGTTGTTTGCTTGAAAAATAAAACGGGTCGGCGCCCCGCCAAACGCAGCCAGCGCTGACGACGCCCCATTCATGCAAAACGAACGGGACTACAATTTTCGCCCTTTGGTACAATTTTCCAACCAGAAGCTTTTTCATCGCCATTTCTCTTGCATGTCGCTGCGCTCCGCCAGCTCTTCTCCCGCCAGCATGTGTTAGAGGCTAAGTGACAAGCCTGGAGGAGAATGACACGAAGAATACTATAACAGTCTGGTTGTTTGCTTGAAAAAAAAACGGGTGCGGCGCCGAGCCAAACGCAGCCAGCGCTAGAAGCGCCCCATCATCACAAACGAAGCGGATCTACAATTTTCGAACGGCCTTTGTACAAATTTTGCCACGCCTAGAAAGTTTTTCATCCCATTTCTCTGCATTTCCCAATTTCTCTTGGGCATGTCGTGACTAGTAAAAGAAGTTGGCGGCTAAAGTAGCTGGAGAGGAGAAGAGGATGCACGTGGGCCGCGTGATTATGGGCCTGAACCTTGCGAAACCCAGCGTTTACGAACGCCCTTACAACATGGCAAAAGCATGGCGATTCCTCGAAAGAACGGTGAAGCGCGAGAACATGGCTAATGACGGCCCTACAATCTCGCAGTGAAGGAAATAATCAAAAAAAAAAAACTAGCGCGTAATAATAAAATCTGACTAGAAAAGCAAAAAAAAACACTACCACAGAATACAGCCGTGGCAATATCACTGAATGGAAAGAAAAAATCGCTCATGATAACCCAGTAATGCCATCAGAATGCACTGTTTTCCTGAAGCAGTCAACGAATCCCTGAAATTGATTGGTTCCGAGCCGAGCTAAGCTCTTTTAAGGCAGCCTTGAGACATGGCTTACCGTGTAATCCCTATTAAATTTGTGCGTCCCTACGTCAACCGACAGCCTAGTTCGAATGAAATCTAACGGATATACGAAACTACAACGTTGTAGAACGCTGCCATACCACCTGAGGCTAAGGAACGTAAGGTGTATTTCCAAAAGTTCTGAACAACGGGAAATTAACATTTCAGAAAACAATGGAAGTGAATGAAAAGTACTTGTTCGCTGCGAATGATGGGGCGTGTCAGCCCGGCACGACGAACGCCATAATTTTTGCTTCTCTCAAGTCTTTCCGACAAGCGACAAGACTGTGTCATATCGCTTTTGTGTCAATCGCGTTTTTCCCACCAGTTTTCGCGGGCTTTGAGGCGGCTTCAAACAACTAGGTTGGTTGTGCGCCAGACGCAGCCGCGTAGAAACGCCCCTTCATAGGCAGCGAAAAGACCGTATGGCGAAAACCATTTAACATTACCTCACTTCGATTGACTTCTTTGAGCAGAATAGACTTATAGAGATCATTAAAAGCAAAATTTAACGCCTTAAAGTAAACAAATATAAAATCTCTCGACAATGTAATAAAAATCAGAAATAATTTCCAACGTACCTGGGTAGGAAAGTAACGCATCACATTCGTCAAATTTCCTCTCCAAAATGAAAGAAATCCTTGCTCCTTGGGAACCCGAATAAGAGCGTCAAAAATGCCCTTGTAACGGTTATGGGCGGCTATACTCTGGTGCGAATATTGCACCTGAATATTAATGTTCTGGCGATAATTTTGAAATAATGACTTGAAGAAAACCCGGAGAACCCATGTTCTTTACGAGTGTTTTTTCTTCTTCGTAATTTCCTATTTTCCCCACTTTTCAGCTTGATACCAACTCTTCATCGAGGTGCTCAAAGCTTCAAAGGAAAAATTAGGTCGCCACGAAGCATTTTCGAGAAGACTTGGGTGCAGAGGCTAGCAATTATGTGACGTTCATTTGAGCAGTCAGTTCCTGAACTTTCTACAAGGTATGGCAAAAGCCAGACCCCAGGCGAAACCCGAACCCGCATGTCCAGCTGACCGGACAAGTGAGCATTCATTATGCCACCGAGGCCGAGTTATGAGCAAAAGTCCATCCCCGAAGCATCAGAAGAAGTAGGGGAACCTTAGGCCTTGATGTAGGTCTCGGCAGCGTTCATACCTTGCAAACGCGAAGAATCTACCAGAACGTAGAACCCTCGATGCCCCCAGGAAATTGACTGTCAGGAGAATGTGCGAAAAGATAATAGGCGCGTCTTCTTGACGAATTCAAAAATCTCACTGAGTGGTACCGAATCCTCCTTATCCTTTTTCGTCAACTCTTCCAAACTGCGGACTCTCCTAGCAACATCAAGTAGCTTTTAGGGAGGCAGCAGACACTAACTGACTTAGCTATGCCGCTTTGCAACCATTTGTGAATCCCTGTGACCAAATTGGTTCAATTATGTCATTTCACTACTTGACAGGAGTTTACAGGCCTCACTAAAGTGTAACCTATTAGCTAAACCACTTCGAGGTGGCGCACGCCCGAAAACAGGAAAACTAACCG